GCAAGGAGCCATGCCTGGATAGATATTCCTCAACTTCAACCGATTAGACTTTCATCCAAAGAATTGCAGACGCATTGGCAGTAACATTCTTGTTAATCTTGTCAGTTATTTCATTCTAAACTTTCATTGAACCGTCAGAACAAAACAGCTGTCTCGAATACCACAGAGTTTGTTGCGATTGAAGTGAATTATGTCGAAGAAATGATTCGGAAGAAATGCATGCAGAGCCCATACTCAAGCAACTCAACTATCTCTTGAACGAGTGCAAACTTCCTAATATCTTCGACTGATTATAATTTGTGAATCAGTTAATAAGCGCCATTTATCTAGTTGATGGAGCACAACACTTGACATTTTGAGGGCAAAGTGTCTATTGTGTAAATATTGTGAAAGTAAATGTGAGATAAAGAGAAGTAGGACTCTTTGAGCTCGTTGTCGTTTAGTGGCTCGATTCCAGTTACTTTCTGAGGAGGATGTATTCGAATATTTTGCATATCAATGTGAAACAGGCATAAAATGTCATGTTCACATTCTGGCTTTGTGTGGTATCATTTCAAAATATGGATCGTTGAACCACATGAGTCATCAGAACAACTTGAAAATAGTGACGGAAATTATTTATGACTTTAACTATTGTCCAAAACCACCCAATTATTGATAATTAGAAACTTTCAAAAGCGTATATTTTTAAATCGTTTAATGGCATTTCCAATACTGCTCTTCAAAGCACTCCGTACCACACCTCAACTGGGAAGAGACCTAATCTGATCAAGATTATCTGAATTCACAGAACAATTTTGCACTTCAAGATTTTCTATCTTTCAATGAAAAATCACTGCATAGGTTTAGAATGTTTGGCAATTTTTGACGCAAATGAACATGCCTTTTTCGTAGAAATGACGGTACGGCATTGGAAAGCCAACCTTACTATATTTACTACAATTCCAAAAATATTTGGTTGTTGGCATTTGCATAACATTGTATGCCATTTCTAATAAATTTGGTAGTTATCGACTCAAATATATAATGCCAAGCTAAACTTTTATGCCGAGATTCTATTCATCGTAAGTGACACCTCAGTCATGGCGAGTAATTTCGGACAACTTAAAGTTTTTTGAGTAAAATCACCTAAAGTAGGGTAGATCTTTAAATAAGCTAAAATGTTTGTTCCAATAATCATTTGCCCATACACTCTATTAACAGTAGAAAGTGGTCAAAACAGCTCAAACTCAGCCTTGAGTTAATTTATTTCAAGTCAATGGGGAATGAAAGACATTAAGGAATAACATTTGAAGGACTTGTGATATCGATGGCCATCAAATGACAGAAATTTTGAATAGTTATCATTGGCCATTTAGTCGACTTCGGGCTTCACAGAGGAAGGTACATCAAAGTAAGAAAAAAGTGGAGAGAGTGGGGGGGGGGGGGGGAACAGAAGAATGTTTCAAAGATGTAAAAGAGACAGACACAAAGGTTGAAAAAAGGCGAGGTGAGTACTATGGAAGTAGTAGAAAATGACATACAGTGGGGTGAAGGTAGTTTGATGTGATAAGCAACTGCCAGTTAATGGACTATTTTGCCCTATGAGTATACGTTGCCCAGGGTGCAACACGTGGAGATAAGTCTATCGCACACTCCGCACAGAATATAGTACGTGTGAGATTAATATAGGACAATGACTTAAATAAATACTCAAATTATATTGATGATTCATAATTGTGTGAACAATTATGACTTGAAATTTTCCATATCTATCCAAAATACGTGGGCATACGTAATAAAATTCAAAATTATTAGCTTAAACAAATTTTTATTCTTTCCTGTTCTTTGAAACACTAACGTGCTATGGTAGAAAAACATTTATTGTTCAACATAATTGATGGACTATCATTAGCCTACGATCAACCACAAGATCGTGGCCATTAAGTACCTTAAAGGGGGCTGAATTTACGTTCATCAGTAACAAAGGCTGAAAACGACTAGCAGCGTAATGTCAAATTATTTATTTAGTTCAAATAACAGGCATTTTGGTAGCTATCACTAGCCCTTCAGCTGACATCTGGCTTCACAGTGGGGAGGAAGAACTTCAAAGAGAGAAAAGGGGTGGGGGAGAATAATGATTCATGGATGTAAAATGGACAGAGACAATGGTAGAGAAACAGGTAAGATAAGTTGAGTACTGTGGAAGTGGTCGAATATGACATACAATGGGGTGAAGGTATTGGTTTGGCAACTAAGTCATTGCCGTTTTTGTTGACGGATACACTCTATACTTTCTTTTGTTTTGTTAACGTGGCCAGAGCATCTAACCTATATTTTTTTCTTACTGTATGGGCTTCTAGGTTAATTGGTAAAAATTTTTTTGTTTAGTTCTTTAGTTTTGTTTTTATTCCAATTTAAAAATGAAAGAACAGGACGTGCACTTCCGACACATTTTATTGTATTACTTCCGAAAAGGCAAGAACGCATCGCAAGTACAAAAGAAGTTATGTGCCGTATATGGAGATGAAGCCTTAAAAGAAAGGCAGTGTCGAAATTGGTTTGAAAGATTTCGTTCCGGTGATTTTTCACTGAAAAATTCACAACGATCTGGCCGCCCAGTCGAAGTGGATGAAACCCATATCAAGGCCATTATCGATTCAAATCGTCACAGCACAACACGAGATGATATTGCAGAGAAGCTCAATGTGTCGCATACATGCATTGAAAAAAAATGAAAAACCCTTGGTTACGTCAAGAAACTTGATTTATGGATCCCTCACCAGTTAAAGGAAATTCATTTGACGCAACGGATTAGCATCTGTGATTCGCCGCTACTGAAACGCAATGAGAATGATCCATTTCTGAAGAACCTAGTTACTGGCGACGAAAAGTGGATAGTTTATAACAATGTCGTTACTCGCAAGAGATCATGGGTGAAGCAAGATCAACCAGCCCAAACAGTATCAAAAGCAGAGATTCATCAAAAAAAGATTATGCTGTCAGTCTGGTGGGATCACAAAGGAATTTTGTATTTTGAACTCATGCCGCAGAACCAAACGATAAATTCAAATGTGCATGTTGAACAACTCGAAAAACTGAAGGATGCAATTGAAGATAAGTGGCCGGCATTATCAAATCGGCGGAAGGGTGTTGTTTTCCACCATGATAACGCAAGGCCCCCCCCACACATCTTTGGTTACTCGGCAAAAATTATTGGAACTGGGTTGGGATGTTTTGTCACACCCACCATATAGCCCTGACCTTGCGCCTTCGGATTACCATTTGTTTCGTTCCATGCAAAACTCTTTAAATGGCAAAATTTTTAACAACGCGGATGATGTCGGATCACACCGAATTGAGTTTTTTAATAGCAAAGACCAGAGATTTTACGAACGGGGAATTTTTACTCTGCCAGAACGATGGAAAAAGGTCATCGACAAGAACGGCCAATATCTAATTGAATAAAGTTATATTTTTAAACAAAATTCCGAATTTGCCTTCTTTTTTGAAATCGGCAATGACTTAGTTGCCAACCTAATAGTTTGATGTGAGGAGTTAACTGCCAGTTAATGGACTTTTTTGCCGTATGAGTATACGTTGCCCGGAGTGCACCACTTGGAGGTAAGTCTATAGCACACCCCAATGTCAAATAGGAAAATTTTTGTTTAGGAGGCCTTGAGAGATCTTATCTCTCCATACGATTACTACAATCATTCCCCTTTAATACAATGAAATAAGTTAATTGAACGAACCGAAGATTTAAAACGTTTATTTCTTTAATGCATGTGATAGTTGTTATTACTAATCAATGCCCATTTTGTGGGGGCAACAGTATCCGCTTTCCCAAATTCTTGAATGAAAATCTTTGTTTATGATAAATCGAGGTTCTATGGCTGAAGTCATGAGAATTTCAATTCTCCTGGTAGATCAACTACTATTTTATATCAATTTATATAAACATATATTGATATATTAATATATTATATTAATTTTTGCTCTTCATTCCCGGAATCTTTCGATTTCGATCCCCTCTCATACATTTAATTTTATTAAGCACAATTAATAATAGATAAGGCGAACAATAATAGGGGAGAGAGTCTAAATTTGTAACCTTCTTTTGTGTTGGCATTGGGAATAGACATTAAGTGGGGTACGTACATAATGAAATAAACACAAAATCATTCAAGCCAGCAACCTCGTCCTAACAAGTTGATTTGCTCCTCCCACTTCTAAATGAAGGTCTATGGAAAGACGCGTCAGAGCATTAAAAATCAAATATATAGCATAAGGTTTAAGTTATTAGCAGTAATTCAGAGTAAGATAGCGCCAGGAAATAATATGGAGTAAAAGTGTCTTTCGTTATTTTTGACGACGAAGGTGTTCGATGATGGCCATTAGTGTTGTCGAAACGCATTCAGATTGTTGTGACTACCTATTTTTAATAAGATTATCCATGGAATAAAGCTGATTTTCTTGAGGTCGGAAGTGGATAAAGTCAATCTCAATACCTCTTAAATTAATCAAAAGTAATATCTTAAAGTTTAATAACTGAATATTTACATGAGGATCTGCCAATGAATTTGTGGAAGGGGGCAGACTCTAACATAGACGTGTCGGTATGCTAGATGAATGAAAATTTCATCGCTGAATCGTTGAGTGGAATGACCTTTGACATAGTCTTAGTCTTGGATTTAAAAAGAAATATAGAAAGTAGAGACGCAGCAATTCGTTTTCAGTCAGACAGAAAAGTACCATCTTATTTCCGACTAGGTTTATTGGCCAGCACCAAGTGAATAACTTAGAACCTCAGTTCTGCTGAATCACCATTTCTGAAAGTCGACGGCGTGTTTCTTGGCCATCTAGTTGGTTTGCTGTAATTCCTGATTTTATCTCTCTGAATGGTAGCTGTCCCAACATGTTATGTGGAATTATCTGTTTTATTTATATTGGTGTCACATTTCTCAAAATATCCTTTCATACCTTTCTCGTGCTCATCAAAAATATCTATCCTGTACCCAATGACGCAAACGTCTACTTATTCTACCTGCCTACAAAGGCGTACTGACGTATGTTTGAGGATTGTTAGGACGCGTTCGTCTCCCAACTGTTATTCACACTGACGCCATTCTTTAGCGCTCCTTGATTGTCTCCTCCTCCTTCCACAAATGTACTTTTTCTTCCCTATAATTAAATCCATATTCACGCACCAAGTCCGTAGTCTGCTATATCCCCATTCACTACCTAAACACTCACGCGGTTTCCTGTCGTACCCCCATAAACTCCACACCTGACTGCCCTATCTTAATTCAATCTTAAATTTTTTGAAAAAGTTAGCTAGCTACAACATAGATGTCTTCCAGCTGACATCGACTACTATATCTACTGCGTGGTTGCAATGTCCATGACCTTTAACCCTGGGATTTTTTTAACGAGGATGTTTCCCAAACGCCTGACCCACCCTTCAACTTCTATAAATGGAATATTTGGAAACAAATTTTGGACCGCTATTGAGCACAATCCGTTGACAAGAGCGTGGACAGCAATGAAGTCACATATCTATCTTAGAAAAGCTGAATTATAGCTCATCTTAATTCTACAAACCATGCCATAATGAGAATGAAATAGATAGAGAATTTTGCTGGCGTGTATCCAGTGCTAGGCATTTTTATGAAAGAAGCCTTCAGTGCCAATCATACAAACTAAATTAAATCAATCAATTGTGGAAAGCCAAATACAAGCTAACTAGTGCTTAATACTTTGAAAAAATCCTATCCGTTGCAATTCTACACAAATTATGCCTAAATGGAACCTTCAAAGACGAAAAAATTAAGAGGAATATATTGATTCCCCACGATTTTCTAGCACCAAGAGCAAGTTTATTATCTTGGCAAAGTATACCGAATAAACCCCATCACTTCCAGAAGATATTGGGATTAGTTGATCGTGCTCTTGAATTTAAGCACGAAGAAGGGTTAATAAAAAGGTTCCATATTTTTATTATCTAAATCCTCGTTTATTATCAAACAGAGCCTTGGTGTGATTCTCTACATTCTCGTCTGTGGATCGTTCCCATTTCCGGGAGAATCCCTCGGCGATATTCGGTGCCAAGTTCTTCGAGGTCTTGTTCGATTTCCCTTCTTTCTTTCCTCTGCTTGTGAGCAAGTTATACGTGGGATGCTTCAAGTTGAGCCTTCCAAACGCCTTCGACTTGAACAAGTAATAGCAACACCTTGGATGCAATCTTCTCCAAATTTGATCCACTACACAAAACTCTTGGATCAGTACACCTCCAAGGCAAGACAACAACAAGCAGACGCCCTGCTACAAAGACAATTTCCGGAGCATAGTTCTGTGATCACAACTACTCGGTGCCAGAGACGGATGGAGAGTTTGGACGGAGGCCTTGTTCGAGCCTTGGCGTTAGCGACTGGAGCGAACGAGGAGGAAATAAGAAAAGCAACAGCCCATAAAAGTTTCGATCGCTTGCATGCTGGATACGCACTCCTGAGTGATAAAATTGCGAGGTTTGCGGCGAATGCAAAGTTGCGGGAGGTGGTGGAGAGTTGGATTAAGAATAGTGGTGCGCCAGTGACGAATGTTTCAGGTTCTTTTTCTTCAGAGACCAAGAAGATGTCGATTTTTCAGTCAACCGGAGGTGGAGACGACGGGCGATCCTCAGCGTCGAAATTAATGAGTTGGAGGGAAGAAGTTGAAGAAGATGACGATGAACCCGGATTTGAGGTAATCTTTAAATGAACCTTGCAGCATTTGGTGTTAACTCTGAACATAACACTGCAATCCATGCTTAAATTCCCAGTTGAATAAGACCCAAAGCCAGTATACTACTTTGATTTCAGATCTACTAAAGTGTAGAATTTTAATTGGTTAAATAACTCAAAACAATGATTTATGACCAGTTGTAACAGCTTTCTTGTAATTCCCACAACTTACGTGAAAGTTAGGAATACTGCAATTCAAAATCATTTTGCAAACTAATTACTGACTAAATCTTTGCGTATAATTAAGCAACACAGGCTAAAATAACAAAGAATCAATGCGAACTTACTCAACTCTCCTGTCTAGACTAGCAGCTAAGACGTTCAAAATAGAATGCATCCATATATGTGTCCTATGGAAAGCAGACGACATTAAGACCACCTGAGGGAAGCGAATAATCTGTAGACAACCCTCATATTACGGCCTTGAGTCATCTTCGTAGGCGGTTAGACAAAGTTAATTAAGAGATTCGTTTCCGAGCGCCTAGGTGTGATTTTTGAATTTGTTGCAAGCTTCGACAAAATAGGCAGACCAGATTTTGATATTTTAGTGGTCTTTTATGGAATAGCTAAAGGGTTGATTTAATATGTAACGTCATAGTAAAATCACTCACCAACTGACTACACCGTAATTGGCATGAGGTTTTCCTCTTAACATTGTTACTCAATCTTTTTCTATGCCAGTTGTCAAGGCCCATTTCAACTGAGATAATACGTATCTAATTCTGGTATAGAATGTCCAATTGTCAAAATTTAACAATTTCATTCTAGGCTCAACCAAAACTCAAAGCTGAGGAGGATGAAGATGTTTCGATAACAGCCTCAGCAGTTCAGAACCTTTCCGTTAGCCAATGTGCCGATGACAAGAATACGGGGCTAGCCTCTTATTCTCTTCCCCAGTCTGATCTTGTCAGCTCCTGGGTGAATGACTTCCGAGTAAGGAAAAAAGAAATTCTATTGACCAAACTTTAACTCTGTTTGGATAAAGTCTTTCTTTTATTTTTTTTAGGCAAATCGAACTGATGTTCGAATAGCACTATCAATTCTACAGGTAACCAATCCTGGGCAATTTAATTCATGCTTAGTGTATATTGAGATTCTTAAAGCTTAATTTAGCCGGTTCCTTTTTAGATTTAATTAAGTGGAAAAAGGCAGGTAATTTATTGTCATCTTTCCGTGCATAGCGGCATAAACAGGCCCATTTGTGGTGTTTGATAGGAGGTTCTGGACTAAAATCAGAACGGCTTTTTCCCATGTCACATAAACGATTTAGTTGGAGTATTCAGTAAACAAACCCTCTTGGATTTTTCTCTCAATGATCAATGATCACGGAATTTATATTTCCCAAAATCATTTGAAAGAATTAGACAACTTGTCATATTCAAATTATTCCCCTTCGTTTATAACCGTCTGAATTGTTTGTTACAGACACTACTTACAAAGCCATGCGAACCCATTATTGTACATTTTAGGTGCATTCCCTTTAATCTCTACTTCTAACTAAGGGGGTTTGTAATCTAGCCACACTGAGCTATTTGGTTGGGAGCTTAATCTGTGCGCTTGGAGCAGCAAACACCGATTGTAGACTGTTATATCATTCTTCCAATTCTAGTTTGTTCTTTTTCCATGGGGGTAAATAATAAGTGTATCAGGATACGCCTGCTTGATTAAGTTAATTGCAATATATAATTTCAATAAGTTTTTCTTTAGGCCGACGAATCCCAACTGATCGAAGAAATCTCGGATATGGAACCTGACTCAACAACCAAGAATCTTCGTCGCCATACCATCCAATTCCCCAGCCCGGTAATGCAAAATAATCCTTTGGAAGAAACTCATCCTTCATTGTCTGGAGAACATCATCAAGATATTCGTGTGTATGGTCAAATTCAAGAACAACAGGGTCACGGATACATTCACAGTCAACAGGAACACGATCTTTCAGGGGAGGGGAAGTCTCATATGGAAGTTGGGAAGGAAGAAAGTGGTGGAAGGGGTCCACTTAGTGGGAGAATTCCGCGACAGATAACACAACCAGAGCTTGGAAGCTGGAAAATGGGGGGTTTACAACGAGAGGCACCAGGAACTGTTGTTGGCGAGGTAAGGAATCTTGAAATATTTCTGTGTGGTAATGGAGTAACATCGACGTAAACAGAAATTTAGCGATCTGTTATCATTATTTTGCAAAATAATAAACATCCCATAGTTGTTTAGCTTACTTTTCATTTGATGAATATTGTGCGGAGCGACAAACGAGATTCCTTTTACTGCAGTAAGAGGTCACTCATATTTAGACCATCGTGACTCCGCGACATTTTGTCATCTGGCTAGATATTGGATGTCTGACAGCGATACGTCATCGTGGTCAGTTAGAAGTGGTCGAATCTCGGAGAATCCGAATCATATTTTATTGTTTGATCGATGTTACCTATGAGGCATGTCTACAATGACTGAAGTATAAAATATAGATAAGGTAATTTCCTTTAAACTGACTACTCAAAAAGGAATTACAAGAGTTCACTAAGAATGAAATCGGTTGTAATATACAAAATTTATCAATTAAGCCATGTGCATAAGGCTTTATTATTATTGATCACAG